GCAATGGAGAGCAAAATCCAGCTACTCCCCGGACCAGTCACCATTTACTGCTCTGAGTCCCAAGCAGCAGGAAATGAAGGCTGCCTTGCGCTGCAAATATACCAAGGCAGAATCCTGATGCTGCACTTTCAGCAGAGAGAGAGGGCTGCCTTGGCCATTGGCTGGCGCAAATATACCAAGGCGAATGCTCATGCCGCACAAGTTCAAGTAGTGCTTCGCTCCCACACTTCTTCCGGCCCTCAGTCTCTCAGGGAGAGGAGATGCTTGACTTCCTCTCAGCCCCAAGACACTGGCTGGCCATGAGATGAGAGAGAGAGAGAATGAGAGAGAAAGAGAGAGAATCAGAATGAGACAGAGAGAGAAAGAGACAAAGAATGAAAGAGGTAGAAAGACAGAATGAAAGAGAATGAGAGAAAGAGACAGAGTGAATCAGAGAGAGAGAGTGAGAGAGAGAGAATGAGAGACAGAGAAAGAGACAGAAAATGAAACAGAATCAAAGAATCAGAGAGAGAATGAGAGAGAGAGAGACAAAATGAAAGAGAATCAGAATGAGAGAGAGAGAGTGGGGAGAGAGAGAGAAAGGGGGAGAGAGAAAGAGAGAATGAGAGAGAAAGAGTGGGAGAGAGAGAAATTAAAATCATTGAAGCACAAGAAATACATAGTTTTTCTTTAAGGCTGGCATTTGTTTTCTATACAGGTAGTCCTTGACTTATGATCACAATTAAGCCTAAAATTTATGTTGCTAAGCGAGACAGTTGTTACATGAATTTTGCCCCATTAATACGACCTTTCTTGCCACAGTTGTTAAGTGAATCACTGCAGTTGTTAGTAACACATTATTAAGTGACTCTGGCTTCGCCATTAACTTTTCTTGTCAGAAGTTCATAAAAGGTAGTAATGGGACCCTGAGACACTGTACCCATCATAAATATGAACCAGTTGCCAAGGGTCTGAATTTTAATCACCTGAACATTGGGCTGCTGAAATGGTTGTAACTGTGAAAAATGGTCATAAGTCATTTTTTTCAGTGCCATTGTAACTACAAACAGTCATTAAATGAATTGTTTGTAAGTCGAGGACTACCTGTATGTAGAACTTTTATTTATTTATTTATTTGTTTGTTTATTGGATTTATATGCCGCCCTTCTCCCGAACGACTCACGGCGGCTCACAACAATAAGAAACAGAAAATACAAAAGTTAAAAGACAAATTAAAACAGAGTATCCAATAAATAAAGTTAAATGTGGGAATACCAATTCAAATTTAAAATTTAAGAATATAAAAAGCTACAAAATCAGTATAGAGTCAACCCAGGCCCACCTGTTGGAAGAGCCAGGTCTTCAAGGCCCGGCGGAAGGTTCGGAGGTTGGGGATCATCCGGAGCGCCAAGGGTAACATATTCCAGAGGGTAGGGGCTCCCACAGAGAAGGGCATTATTTGTAGGGCAATTAGCCAATTTTCTAAGTATAATGATACAAAGTATGATTAATGATTAAGTATGAAAAATTTAACCTTGGCTTCTTCAAGGATAAGTTTTATTAAGTTCCTTAATTCTTTGCAGGTACCAGTAAAGCAGGTGGATTTTATTAAAGATTCCTGACCGCAGTCAGCAGATATAAATGATAACACTTGCTTAGGTTGAAGAACAGGAAATAGAGAATAAATACAAGTGTACATTTTCCTATTGGAAATCCATGAAAAACAGAATCCTCTACAGATTTGCATTGGACTATTATTTTAAAACATACTTGTGAATGATCTTGAGTTATGATGAGTAGGGAATTGGCTAAATTTGTTTGTGATACTAAACTATTCAGAGTAGTAAAATCAAAAAGGATTTTTTAAAAAAATTACATCATGGATATCAGCCTACAGATGAAATTGTGAAAACAAATGGAAAATAAAATAGCCATCACAGTAATTGCCTTTCATTAATTTGTTCTACGATGTGGTTGCACAATTACAATCTTCACAATCTAAAAGAAAGATTGTGGGACAGGAAAAGGGAGAAAAAAGGAGAATCAAACTATAAAGAAACATTCTATATTGAACTATTTTAGTTTGTAACAAAAGTGGCTAAATAGCAATACAATAGTGGTGTTTAAAATCAAGCACAAAATGGAAAGTGTGAATAGAGATATGTTCTATTCCCATTTTCACAATGTTGAAACTTGGGCGATGCCCAATAAGACTAAATTGGAAAGATTAAGAACTATTTCTTTAAACAATGTATTCCTTTGAGGAGTTTGCTGCCATTAGATGTGGTAACAGCTGCCAAATGAGATAACTTTTCAAAGAACTAGAGGAATTCGTAGGTTATCATTACATTTTGGTGATTTATATTTCTTACCTCTGAAATCACAGGCAGCATACCTCAAATACCAGTTGTAAGGTCACAAGAAGGCTACTGTGGTCTGGTCCATGTTTACAAACTTCTAGAAAGCATTTGGTTTCCTTAATGATGTAGAATGCTGGATTAAGTGATCCATTGGCCCTTATCCAGAGAGACCTGTTTCTGTATTCTTGTACTATATTCAGTGTCATATGAAACTCTTACCTAGTCTATAATAATAACACTACTTAAGAATCCCAGCATTGGTGACAAACTAAATACCAGCTATATAATACAACAAATCTAACCAATTAAAATGTTAAATCCATCATTCTTTCCAAGAACATCTTAATTTAGTTACCAAAAAGTATCGAAATATCAGTATAAAGCTTATATTCATTCAACTCAATGCAGCTGTACTGACTCAACTATTCTTTCTTGGCCTTGCCTCTGTGTTCAGGATTTATAAAGACAATGCCAATAGAAAGAAAGAATTCCAAATTCAAGACTAGGATAAGACAGCTGGAGTATTGATTTCTCTCAATTTGACCAGAAGAAAATTAGATAAAACTGTATTTGGATCCATCATCAAAACTCTTAACATTCCTATAGTCATACAGTCTATGATTGGATCAAGGGGATGTGGTTAGTTATTTCTTCCATGTTAATTTTCTCATTTGAATCATTTTTTCCTATTTTATGAAGCAAAAGTATCTTTATCAAATTTATAGAATTTTGAGCATGTTGACAAGTGGGGGAAAGGATTATTTATTTCATACACTTATGTCACAGTCCTGGTAAATCTGAGTCCTTCTTTAAATAGTAGAACATTCAAAACTCTAATTTGGACTGGTCAGAGATAAAGAGCCTCACTCTCTGTCCTTTATACTACTCATTGTACTGATGCTCACTCACCATGAATGATGGGACTAATGCTTTCTCAATGGAGTTGTGTTCATAGCAGCTACTTGAGCTGGTAGTGGTCTGGATTGTTTCCCTAGATCAGGGGTGTCAAACTCAATTTCAATTTTGAGGGCCGCATCAGGGTTGCGTTTGACCTCAGGGGGCTGGGGTGGGTGTGGCTTGGATGGGCGTGGCCAGCTCAGTGTCACTTGTGTCAGGGATGCCTGTGGTGGCTCAAGTACTCTGCCAGTGGAAACGGGCTCTCAAGCTTTGTTTTCAGCTGCGACGGCCTCCTGCAACCCTTTTCCAGCGAAAATGGAGTTCGGGAGGGCTGCATTTGTGCTGGCAGAAACATCACGGGCCTGTCCTTCACTGTTTCAGGGTGACCCCATGGGCCAGATCTAGGCACCCCGCAGGCCAGATCTGGCCCACGGACCTTGAGTTTAACACCCCTGCTCTAGATAAAAGGACAATATGCAGCTTCTATAAAATTAAGCAGATCTTCCTGAGTGGAAGGCCATTCCCATTTAAGTGCTGCAAAAGGAATAAGAGGGCCACATATCTGCATAGATGTTACCTCACCCTAAAACCCTGCAAATGGTTTATGAGGTCCTGAAGCCAAGCGCCTCTGAAGTCAGCTAGATTGTTCATCAGTTCAATGGATTGGATCCTCTGAGTGTTGCTTTGTTTTAGGCTGAGGCCTTTTATATCACTATAATGAATGGGGCCTTTCTGTATTTGCTATACAGTTTTAATTAGTTTCCTGCAAGAGCTGTTTCTGTTTGGAAAACAAACTACATTTTCCCCTCCCCTTTCTGCTTCCCACCACTGTTGCAGACACTCAGGCTCCTTGTTGTAGTTTAGCCCCATTAGCCAATGAATTAATCATAATGGCTGCCAACCCATTAAATGCCACTTAATCTGGAAGAGAATGTGGCATTAGACAAATTGGGCATGGATAGGGATGCTTGGGTTAAGCGGTCAGATTATTGCAAAATTACCCTAACACGAGCTATGAGAATTCCAAGAATTTAAAGTTTCAGATTACAAAAATTGAAAATACGGTTGGTTGTGTTATATGGACATAGCCTAAATCATAGCCACTCTATTGTACAGTTAATATGAAAATCTTCTGTTTCTCTGGCTTCCTCTGTGGGAAGCCAGAGTTTAAGGTTCTTCCTGTATGGATGGAAATCAAAGCAACAGAATAACTACGTAACACCTCAATACATGCTAGATAAATACTTTAGGGGTGGACCACCTTTATTTTTAGGTGGCTAATTTGTCAGTCCAGAGACATCATTTTCTCTGTGCCCTGAAGTCTCCTTGCATGCAATTACTCTCCAAAATCTCTAATATTGTCATTTTAAAAGCATTAATAAAAAATAAATGATGCCTTTGCTACCAATTCCATGCAGTTCTCTATACAGCCACTAGATGGTGATTAACAACCATTTCTGTTCAGCCCATTTCAAAAGCTTTTTTATCCTTTGAGAAAGGGTTTTCCTCACTTTGCCTTTCGGTGAAACCTAATTACGCTTACATTCTATAATAAGACAAAACATGTGTTTGATCAATACACAAAGGAGGGAATCAATTCTCTTGCTACCTCTTGATACGCACTTTTTGTATTGTGATAGAATACAACAGCAAAAATAATATTCCCTCTTGTTTTAGGCCAGGTTTGCTGTTTCCTAAATGTGTCTCTGCATGTTTCTGACTTGTATCTTTGACTCACTTTTCTGCTTTTGATTTGTCCTACAGCATTCTTAGAAGTCTTAACTTACAGATTTGGAGAAAATGTCAGCTTGACAGAGCCATAAGGAAGCAGGTACACACATATACACACACCAAACCAGCAGCTGAAAGTTAAAAAGATCTTACTGTTCAATGTGTTATTGCCTAGAATTGTTATATGTTATGTCTCCTGCAGTCCCGTATTTTCATTTTCTCTTTCCCACCTTTCTGTCTGCTACTAGCTGTGTGTACTTTTTTTGTGTTAGGAAGAAATACAAACTCAAAGAGGAGATTAGATCGCTACTATTGATGCCAGCTTGCTACCCTCAGAAAGTCTGTGAATAAACTCCTAACTGATATTCTGGCTTTAAACTTGAAATATACTTAATTATTCATTTGTCATACATTATTACATTAATGATAGTCAGTATTGTTCATTTTCATTGTCTGCATGTTCTAATGGCCTAACTGTTCCCACATGAAGCTGCCAATGTCTTGAGATGTTTGCCAGACATTTTGTTTTGCTACTCAAGAACTGCATTATTTAGGCAAACAGGTAGAAAAGCACTCCAGGTTGTTGAGCATTCTCTTCAACAACAGTGGGAGAGAAGCAATCTAGAACTAAGGAGAAATTTCCTGACAGTTAGAACAATTAATCAGTGGAACAACTTGCCTCCAGAAGTTGTAAATGCTCCAACACTGGAAATTTTAAAGAAGAGATTGGATAACCATTTGTCTGAAATGCTATAGGGCAGTGATTGTTAACCTTTTAGGTTCCGAGTTTTAGGTGCGAATGCACGTGCGCATGTCCAAACCCCCCAAATGCAATGCGAATGCCCCCCACACATGCACTCTGTCCCTGTGCATGCATGTGTGTCCCCTGCACATGCATGTGTGTCCCCCATGCATGCCCCCCCCCCCCGCGAATGCCTCCCCCCCCCCCGCACCTCATTTTGGCTTCCAGGTTGGTGCAGGAGGCTTTCCAGGCCCAAAATGGGGCACAGGGGAGTGCGGATGCATGGTGGAGCTGGGCTGGGGTGATGATGTGCCCACAGAGAGGGGTCTCCTGCCACATGTGGCACACGTGCTATAGGTTCACCATCATAGCTATAGGGTTTCCTGCCTAAGCAGGGGGTTGGACTAGAAGACCTCCAAGGTCCCTTCCAACCAGGGGTGAAATGCTACCGGTTCGCTCCAGTTCAGGCGTAATGATAAAAACTACTGGTTCGGGTGAACCGGTATTAAAAAACAGCTACGATCCAACGATCAGCTGTGGCGCGTGGTTTAGCTTTGCTATAAAGCAGGATTTCCTGCTTTCTAGCAAAGCTAAACTGCACGGTACAGCTGATTCCCCTCCACTGTTCTACTTACCTTCCCAAGCCTCCTTTTGATGCATACTGCGCATGCATGTGCACACAGCACGCACAAAAAAGAGGCTTGGGAAGGTAAGTAGAATGGGGGAGGGGGGAGAGAATCAGCTCTGCCACGTGGTTTAGCTTTGCTAGAAAGCAGGAAATCCTGCTTTCTAGCAAAGCTAAACCACACGGCAGAGCTGATCGTCAGATCGTAGCTTTTTTAAACTACCGGTTCAACTGAACTGGTAGCTTTTTAAATACACAGGGTGTGTTTAGGGTGCATGCGTGGCCAGCGAACCGGTAGCAAACTGGTTCAGATTTCACCAGTGCTTCCAACTCTGTTATTCCATTCCATTCTGTTCTGTTCTTTAGGTACTTTAGGGTCTTTAATTTGGATTAAGACAATTCTGAATTGTTCAAAATGCTGTAGTTTTATTTATGTCACTGGTATGTCACTGCTTTAGTACACACAGAATGTTCTTTTTTTTAAAGAGATAGGTAGAGAAAAGTTTAACTGAAGCTTCATGACCTCTAATTTTCAGGAAAAAGATAAAAAAGAAGTATATACTGTAGGTAAAATGTAATTTGAGAGAGAAGAATGCCAAATGTTATGTAATGAAGATTACCTGAATAATGAAACCACTTTTGATAAATAGTTTTTTAGTCCTGGTTATTTAACTATTACTCAGTGATAGTCACCATCTTTCCTCATCATTTGTCATGGTGACTGGAGTTGATGGAACAACAGACCTCAAAGGTCAAGATGTTTTGCTCTTGATCCACATTGGAAGATTTTCGGAATGCAATTGATGTCTCTGTATATATGTACTGTATATGTGTTTTCACTTTTTTTCATTGTAGTACTGTTATTTTTCTTTTTACCCTGATTCATATACGCTACTGAATTTCATCAGTGATTGGAGTGATGCACCTAGGAAAACAGGATAGTTTTTCAGACAAAGCACTGAGGTAAATAAAACGTAAATATATTTCTTTTAACTTTGTTAAAATGCTGCTGTCTTTGAGTATATTAAACTTCAACTTACTTCTCTGATCTGGAGGCAAAAACTTTTTCATGAATTGTGTTATTTCTTGTCAAAGAGCATTGATTAAAAATTTGCCTCACAGGCAAAGTAGGCGAAAAAACCCACAGAAAATAAAATAAAAATAAGTTATTAATCAGTCTAACAGGCAATTTAAATGGAGAACTGTCTTCTGTGACACATTAAGAATGATAATGAGGAATATTTCACAAGGCAATATTTGAACAGGAAAAAAAAAAAGAAAGAAACATGTCATGTAAACTTCTCAGTTTATAGCTATCTACTGGTATGTAGTAGCTGAATAATGGAAGCACACACTGTATGAGTGTTTTTGTTATCAAGGCTGTGTTGCCTGGAGATATACCTGCATTTTGACATGAAAGCCTTGAGGCTTTCATGGCCCTGGGACAGCAATTTACACTGCCTATTGAAGGCAAGAAGATTTCAGCTTAGTGAAATAAGCATCAATATGGAAAAGGGAAGAACTGGCATGTTATAACTTTGACATAAGGCTATGTTGCAAGATGAATTCTGAAAAGTCATATTTTATGACTTACAAAATATCTTACAGGAAATCTGTCTTTTTTCATATGTTGAAACCAAAGTACGGAAACAAACAATAAACTATTTTTATTTGGATATATTACCATTATCTTTTATAAAAATTCTTCCTGGTACCTTAACCATCCTTCCCATAATCCCGCAGATCCAGATTAATCAGAACATAGTCTTTGAATTAGTCTTAAATTATTCATATGGATTTTTTTCTATTGAATTCAATGGGTTTATTTTGACCTGGTCAGATATAAGAAAATCAACCATGGGTTGTATATTTCTCCTCCTTCTTTTTTCTCCCCTTTTCTTGATCAGTTTTGAGATGATTAATGTCCATGCAATGACAACAAAGGAAAGGAAAGGGACCGTAGGTCTCTCAGAATGGAAATGGAATGTTCTACCAGAGAAAACAACCAGATCATGGGTATTTCGGACAAAATGGATTCCTTTCTTTCATTCATTCATTCATTCATTCATTCATTCATTCATTCATTTATTTATTTATTTATTTATTTATTTATTTATTTAAATTTCTATACCGCCCTTCTCCAGAATAGGACTCAGGGCGGTGAACAGCCAGAATAAAAAACAATACATACAAAATTTAAAAACAATTTAAAATAATTAAATATTATTGGCCATAAATTAAAATAACCCAATTTAAAATCAATTTAAAATTAACTCAAGACAGCCCCGCTAATTGAAATAAATGGGTTTTCAGGGCCCGACGAAAAATCCGGAGGTCTGTTATTGTACGTATCTCCGGGGGGAGGTTGTTCCAGAGGGTGGGCGCCGCCACAGAGAAGGCTCTCCCCCTGGGGGTCGTCAGCTGACATTGTCTGGCGGACGGCACCCTGAGGAGGCCCACTCTGTGCGAGCGTACTGGCCAGTGGGAGGCTATTGGTGGCAGAAGGCGGTCTCGTAAGTACCCCGGCCCTAAGCCATGGAGCGCTTTAAAGGTGGTCACCAACACCTTGAAGCGCACCCGGAAGACCACCGGGAGCCAGTGCAGCTCGCGCAGGAGAGGTGTTACGTGGGAGCGCCTCGTCGCCCCCATAATCCCCTGCGCGGCCACGTTCTGGACCAGCTGGAGCCTCCGGGTGCACCCCAGGGGGAGCCCCATGTAGAGAGCATTGCAGTAGTCCAGGCGGGAAGTGACGAGTGCCTGAGTGACTGTGCGTAGGGAGTCCCGATCTAGAAAGGGGCGCAACTGGAGTATCAGGCGGACCTGATAAAAAGCCCCCCTGGCCACGGCCGTCAAATGATCTTCCAAAGACAGCCATGCATCCAGGAGGATGCCCAAGTTACGAGCCCTCTCCGTGGGGCGAGTGATTCGCCCCCAATAGCCAGCGATGGCGTCAGCTGGCTATATCGGGACGCCGGAAGCCACAGCCACTCGGTCTTGGAGGGGTTGAGTCGGAGCCTGTTTCTCCCCATCCAGGCCCGGACGGCCTCCAGGCACTGGGACATCACTTCAAGGTCATCGTTGGGGTGGCCTGGGGTGGAGATGTACAGCTGGGTGTCATCAGCGTACTGATGGAACTCCACCCCGAAGCCACGGATGATCTCACCCAGCGGCTTTACATAAATGTTGAACAGAAGGGGCGAGAGGACCGACCCTTGTGGCACCCCACAAGCAAGGTGCCTCGGGGTCGACCGCTGCCCCCCTGTCAACACAGATTGCGACTGGTCAGAGAGGTAGGAGGAGAACCACCGCAGAATGGTGCCCCCCACCCCCAACCCCGCCAACCGGTGCAACATGATACCATGGTCGATGGTATCAAAAGCCGCTGAGAGATCTAACAGGACCAGGATAGAGGAGCAACCCCTATCCCGAGCCCTCCAGAGATCATCCACCAACACGACCAATGCCGTTTCCGTGCTGTGCCCAGGCCGGAAGCCGGACTGGAGCGGGTCTAGATAGACAGCTTCATCCAGGTACCGGGGAAGCTGTTGCGCCACCACACTCTCAAAAACCTTCGCAACAAAGCGAAGGTTGGAGACTGGACGATAGTTAGCCAAAACAGCCGGATCCAGAGAGGGCTTCTTGAGGAGGGGCCTCACAACCGCTTCTTTCAAAGCGGCTGGCAGGACCCCCTCACTCAAAGAAGCGTTAACAATCTTCTGGAGCCAGCCTCGTGTCACCTCCCAGGAAGCCAGTACCAACCAGGAGGGGCACAGGTCCAATAAACATGTGGTTGCGTTCAGCCGTCCCAGGACCCTGTCCATGTCCTCAGGAGCCACAGGATCGAACTCCCCCCAGATAACACTCTCAAGACCTGTCTCAGTCATCCCGTCCGGACATACCCAGTCAGAGGCCAGCCCTTCCCGAATCTGAGCGATTTTGTCATACAGATACTGCACAAAGTCCTCAGCTCGGCCCTGGTTTTAAATGAACCATCAGTGGACCTTTCAGCACATTCCATCATTCCATATCCCATATTTATTGTGAAAATAGTCTCCCCACTTTTAATGTTTTCCATGGATGAACCCCCTTTCCTCACCCTCAAATATATGTGCTGTTGCCCAAAAACACAAAATATGTGTAGTACGTAGTTCTATCTCAGGATTTAGAATATAGACTAAGAGAGGAACATAGTCAAGGGTTAACATTCTGGAAGAAAAAATAAGTGATAATATCAGGATCAGTTCATTTTTTTAAAAAGAAAGTTCCTCCCCATGCATGAAATCAACATTAATAGCTAAGGCTTTTTCTCCCACTTATGAAAGATTCTCAGTAAGAAAGAAATGTTATATGTTGCAATTGAAATTAATATGGAATGAAATAATAATAAAATACCTTGAATTGCAAAAGCAGGGGTGGGCAATTGTGGCCCTTTTACAACCTGTGGACTTCAACTTCCAGAATTCCTGAGACAGCCAAGCTGGCTCAGGAATTCTGGGAGTTAAAGTCCACAGATCATAAAGGGGCCATATTTGCCCACCCCTGGCAAAAGGCATCTTTACTTGGAACAGCTTACATCCTGAGACAATATTTGTAACATTAATATCTTCCTAGTCCAGGTCCTTTGGAAGAATGATAGCTCGATAAAAAGGCCAAATCCAGTCTGAACTTCTGTTTGACTGCACAACGAACCAAAAGATTTAATAGTAAGGATCTGACCAGGAACCTATTGGTGAATTAAGAAAAAAATCACAGTTCCTAATTGTGTGGAAAGATCCGAATTTACTTACAACTTCTTCTGACAGGAGACCACCATTCTGCTCTCCATTTATTTATTTATTTAAATTTCTATACCGCCCTTCTCCAATGTAGGACTCAGGGCGGTGAACAGCCAAAGTAAAAACAAGACATACATACAAAACATACAAAATCTAAAATCTGTTTAAAATAATTAAATAATTTTGGCCGTAATTAAAACATTCCAATTTAAAATCCGTTTAAAATTTGACTCAAGCCAGCCCAGCTAGTTGAAATAAATGGGTTTTTAGGGCCCGACGAAAAATCCGGAGGTCTGTTATTGTACGTAGCTCTGGGGGAGGTTGTTCCAGAGGGTGGGCGCCGCCACAGAGAAGGCTCTCCCCCTGGGGGTCGCCAGCCGACATTGTCTGGCGGACGGCACCCTGAGGAGGCCCACTCTGTGGGAGCGTACTGGCCGGTGGGAGGCTATTGGTGGCAGAAGGCGGTCTCGTAAGTACCCCGGCCCTAAGCCATGGAGCACTTTAAAGGTGGTCACCAACACCTTGAAGCGCACCCGGAAGACCACCGGGAGCCAGTGCAGCTCGCGCAGGAGAGGTGTCACGTGGGAGCGCCTCGTCGCCCCCAAAATCCCCCGCGTGGCCGCGTTCTGGACCAGCTGGAGCCTCCGTGTGCACCCCAGGGGGAGCCCCATGTAGAGAGCGTTGCAGTAGTCCAGGCGGGAAGTGACGAGTGCCTGAGTGACTGTGCGTAGGGAGTCCCGATCTAGAAAGGGGCGCAACTGGCGTATCAGGCGGACCTGATAAAAAGCCCCCCTGGCCACGGCCGCCAAATGATCTTCTAACGAAAGCCGTGCGTCCAGGAGGACGCCCAAGTTACGAGCCCTCTCCGTGGGGGCGAGTGATTCGCCCCCAATAGCCAGCGATGGCGTCAGCTGGCTATATCGGGACGCCGGAAGCCACAGCCACTCGGTCTTGGAGGGGTTGAGTTGGAGCCTGTTTCTCCCCATCCAGGCCCGCACGGCCTCCAGGCACTGGGACATCACTTTAAGGGCATCATTGGGGTGGCCTGGGGTGGAGATGTACAGCTGGGTGTCATCAGCGTACTGATGGAACTCCACCCCGAAGCCACGGATGATCTCACCCAGCGGCTTTACATAAATGTTGAACAGAAGGGGCGAGAGGACCGACCCTTGTGGCACCCCACAAGCA